GGTCATCCGACGTGACGTCGGGAGTGACCGACTGAAAGGGAACGTAGCGTTCCCCGACATAAACGCCCAACAATATCCAGTGATGCAAACTATTAGACTTTTTTTTTTTGTCAAATTCCACGGTTTTGAATGGAAAGTAGGTCTGCCATTTACATGATTCATGTAATTTATAATTGATTATGACGACAATAGCATTTTTCTTTTTTTGCGTTTTCAACAATAGGCCTACAACTGAAATTGAATGGGTGCATATTTTAAAAGAAATATATTATTTGCAGTTCAGATTGATTACTTTACAAAAATTCTTATTCTTGTTCTTTTACTGTTCTTTTTTCTTTTTTTAATTTATTCCCCTAAATCCATTTAAATCCTTTATTTATTTAGTTTCTTCTTTAGTTATCATTACCATGGTGGTCTGGTCTTAAATAAAAAAGTTAGTTGAAAAGAGTCACCAGTATAGAAACAATGATAAAGAGAAAGAGAACAAAGAGGGCTTTTTTTTACTATTCAATAAAGAAAAAAAAAGTTTATTTTGCTGTGAAAGTGCATGATATTCTAGGCTGCCCATGAAGGCTTTTTTCATATAATATAGTTAATATAGCAATATGTACAGTATAAATATCTTCTAGACCAAGGATATCTGCAAGCCCACCCTTCTATAGCCGTCAAGAACCGGGCCTGTTGCAAGGTACATGTCATATTTCAACCGAATTTCCATGGCAACCATGAAATCTGCTCTGTATATTTCCAGTATAATCTGTAATCCCAAAGCAAAGCATAATCTCAAGGGTTTTTTTAATCAATATTTTGCTTGTGATAAGAAAAATCCGCTGCTCAGAATTCTATTAATATATATTAAAAAAAATGATTCTGCTGTGATTACAGTCTCCCCTTGTTGCTGACATCTAATTGTCAAAATGTCATTTTGGATATCTAATAGGAGAGATTCTCAGTAAATTATTTTGCGTAACATTTAAATAAATGGTTATTCAATTCCCTCTCTTTATCTCTCCATTGAGAATTGAGTCGTCTGTCATGGGTTTTACAGTCAGTTTTTGGCTCGGATGGTCCCTGATTGCGTCATGACAGATTATGTTACATCAAATTTGCTGAGAGAGATTTTGCTGTTGTCAATGTCACAGTGTAAAAAAAACCCAGTTTGCACAGAGGAAAAAAAAAAGTTATGCTGACAAGGGGAAGGGGAAGGATCAGGCTGTCACTCACCACTACGGTCTGCAGCTCCTCCCCTCATTATCCTTGCAACCACTACCGCCCCAGTTACTTCATCCCTGCGGATGGTCGCACCCTAAAGAGACATAATTGATTGCAGAAATTAAATATAAGCCTATATTTTGCATGTCTTAATGATAATGGACAGTACATTAAGAATATTAGTCCATTATGTTGACAAAACAGCTCAATCCTGAAACTCACAAGAGGCTCCTTGTTCTTAACCAAACGCACAATCTTTACTGATTCCTCCTCCAGTTCATCGTCTAGATCATCCGGTAGAGGGGGAAGCACAGGCTCAAAGTTCTTCTGTGCCACTGTGTCATGTACTGTTAGAACTGCCTGATGGAGAGAAAAATCACAACAAAAGTTGACAAGATGACCCAATGGTGCTGTGGAAGAAAGAATGTGCTCGTGTATAAATGAGAGGGAGAATTAGCATGTAGGTGTAAATCGGTTGACAGAGAATGGAGAGAAAAAAAAAAACAGAGAAGAGGAAACTGATGCCTGGGGCACGTGGAGGAAATGAGCGAGTCTAATTAGAAGGCTGTAAAATGTCATCTGATTCTATTTTGTCATGCTGCTCACTATCAAATAGAAATGAATTAAGCTTAATTACGTCAAGCTTCATTTAAACACTGATTTAACAGGAATTATCTGTTATAGAATTTACATACCCTTGCGGCGGCTTTCAATTTGACAGATTATTAGAATATAAACGGGCAAGTGTTTATATGCATCTGAATTTATTTATAAAAAATATCATAAATTGTACTTTAGGGCAATTTAAGATCAATGGAAGATTTTTCAGAAAATTTACCACAAAGACATGAATTAGGAAAATCAGCAGTCGGGAAAATCTCTACAAAGACAGGGGCACAAGTGTGAGTTTTGCACCTTCACATGTGGAGCAGTAAGAAGTGTTAATAGCTCTCTCTCATCTTCTTCCAGTGGTCCGTTCTGTAGCTCCTCTGCGACCTGTCAATGTAAACCACAAGACCAATATCAGCAAAAATGCAAAAACATGGCAACATTTAATAGTACAGTGAAAAAGCCCACACTTAATCACTGTTTTTATTTTTCATTAAAAACATCTAGCCTTAAACATGTGTTGCTGTTTTATATATTATAACATTCAAAGGTTTTGGGTCAGTATGATAGTTTTCAACATTGATAATAATAAGAAATGTTTCTTAAGCACTAACTAACCATAGAATGAGTTCTGAAGGATTATGTGACACCGAAGAATGGAGTAAAGGCTGCTGAAAATTCAGCTTTGTCATTACAGGAATAAAGTACATTTTAAAATATATTACAATAAAAAGTTATTTTAAATATAATATGAAATATTAAAAATAATATGAATATTTCACAATATTACTGTATTTTTGTTTCATGTTCTGTTTCATAAAGTAAATGCAGTCTTGGTTTGCAAAAGAGAAACAAAAAATCTTACCAACATTTTGAACAGCTTTTGAAACTTATATATATATATATATATATATATATATATATTAGGTTGTATATATAAGTCATATATAAGATATATAATGAAGATTTGATTGTTTCAGTCTTGTTCAGCAAAAGAGAAATATTTCAGAAACATTAAAAAAAATCTTACCAACATTTTGAAGAGCGTTTGAATGGATGTATATATATTATAGTATTAAGTCATAAATAAGATATATAATGAAGATTTGATTGTTTGCCGTTGAGGTAGAGATGCCACTTACGTCTTCTGCCAGGCAGGATGCGCTGTGGAGCACTGGGGTCGGGCTCTGGAGCTGAAACTGCCTGAGTCGCTCATGGATCTGCATGAAAAGTCAGTACATATGGATAATCATTCACAAAAACAATATTAGGATGTTAGACATTATCTCCAGCTTTACGCACTTTCATAATATAGCTGAGGCTCCTCTCACTGAAGACCTCCCTGAGGAAAACCATGTCCTCTTTGTGATTAGCATCTGGATGCAGCTGGGAGGTGAGGAGGGCTAGCATCTCATGCAAACCTGCAAGATAAAAAAAAACAATACTTTAAAATTGTACAGTTATTCATTTTCTGTATACTTTTTCGAAACATAAATAATATAATAATGTTGCATTGACCAATACAGCAGGACTTACTGATGTCTATTAGTGTGAACGTGGTATCACATAAAAACAAAGATTTTCATTTACCAATAGTATTGAAAAAGGCTTTAGTCATATTTAAAATATTTGGTCAGCAAAACTGTTTCATAATAGGTGATTAAACAAATAGTTTTCAGTTGTTCATGTGTTCTCAACATTTTTCCATGCAACATGAAAAACTTTTAATAGGCAACTGAAATGACTGGAATCTCATTTGAATGTACATGATTTTACATGATATACATTTTGATATACATTTACATGTATCATATACATGATATACATTTCTTTATATGTACTTTTTTAATGAGGACGAAATTACTGTTCTTTATTATGATGATCAAGTGAGCTAATTTTTCAATCACAGTTACTGTATGACGTACCTGTGGTAGGTGAGAGAAAAGGCATTACTGCTCATGTGACAGACAGAGACGAAGGAAAAATGGTTCTCCTCTTCTCTCAGGTCACTCAAAAATGTGGGCTTATCTGAAAAGCCTGTTAGAAATAAAATGGCACAAGCAAACTTTAGGAAACCCTTAACATTATAACTGTTCCCTGCTATGGATTGCATGGTAAATAACTGTTCAACAATGACGTGGCACATTAAAATTAATGAGGCGGATCCTGTACAACACAATAATAATATTTTATGCTCATTTGATCATTTCATTGAAATGGCTTTAAAAATGTTTGCATGGTGAGGTTTGCTGTGTTATGAAGTAACAAACCCCATCATGGAATTTTTTTTTATTTTTTTTTTAAAGATGAGATAAAAATAGACTGTACCCAGTCAACAAAACAAGCAGAAAGAAAGAGAAGAAAGAGGGAGATGAAAGATATGACAATAGTCATTAGGCATAGCATTAAATTAAATTACACTAGTCATCTCAGTTTAATCTTGTTGTGAGTCAGTTGAAGGAAAGCATCTCTCTTTAGAAAGGGGTATAGATTCTGGTGGTCTGCACAGTTCACAGTAAATGAGTGAAGTAGAAATATGATCACTTCACTCGAAAATGAGTCCCTCAGGAAATAATCCCCATGCCAACAACAATCAATACTTTATCACTGCGTTTCATCCAGAGAGACATCACATCAAACAGTATACTCTGCACTAAAGTAAGAAGTTCCTTTTTACCTAAAGTAAAAGTCTGAAAATGATGGTTTTCAGTTTGATTGCAAACATAGTGTATGGTTAAATGGTGTTGAAATCATGTAGCCAAGCGATGATATCTCAGATCATTATTTAGTCTTGTGCAAACTTCATATAGCTAAAACTGTAAATTCGACTCCTTGTTACAAGTATGGTAGAACTAGTGTTGCTTTCGTCAACGACAATTATGACTAAATATCGTCGTCAACGAACCTTTATCACGTGACGAAAACGAGACGAGACGCGACGTAAATGCTGGTAATGTGACGATGACTATAATTAAATGTATAATGCAATATTGTTGACGAATAAAAACGAGACTAAATGTGGTTTACAAAATAAAAACTATGCTAAAATGTCTCTTCATTTTCGTTGACCGAAACGAGACGAAACGAAATGTTATAACGTTATTTCGTCTCGTTTAGTCGCGTTATTATTATTATTTTGCAGTATTTCTGTTTCCTGTGTCTCACTTCAGGGGCTGCCGGGGAGCAGTTGGGGGTTCGGTGCCTTGCTCAAGGGCACCTCAGTCGTGGTATTGAAGGTGGGAGAGAGTGCTTTACATTCACTCCCCCCACCTACAATCCCTGCCAGTACAAGACTCGAACTCGCAACCTTTAGGTCTCTCTAACCATTAGGCCACGACTTCCCCCCAAATGATAGGTCTGTCAGAAGTGGGATTCAAACGTGAACGCAGCACCTTAGACCGCTCGGCCATCCTGACACTTGTCATGGGTTTGGCTAAAAGAACATTTTGGTTTCGTCTATACTACTAGGTACTTATACTATATTGACTGGGTTAAATAGAATACCCTATTCCATCTAAGCTCCTAAAAGAGGTGCTTCCAGAAGTCATAGATCCTCTTCTGGCTATTATTAATTCATCATTGTCATTAGAATATGTCCCAAAAACCTTCAAACTGGCTGTTATTAAGCCTCTCATCAAAAAACCACAGCTTGACCCCAAAAAACTAGTTAATCACAGACCGATCTCGAATCTCCCTTTTCTGTCCAAGATACTAGAAAAGATAGTATCCTCACAATTATATTCCTTCTTAGAGAAAAATGGTATCTGTGAGGATTTCCAGTCAGGATTTAGACCGTATCATAGTACTGAGACTGCTCTAATTA